TTTATTAACTTATTAATAAACTTATTAATGTTTTAAAAACTTGCGTTTAGTGTTTAGTTTTTAGAATTTATTAATTGTTTAGTTTATTCAGGCTCGGTTTAAAGAGAGTTGACTGTATTATATATACAGTCAAACCTCTCTATAGTCACCTTCTATATAAGCACATATTTTTAAAAACCATTATTAAATATAATAAATTTAACCTCTATAATTGGCACACTTCTCTATAATCACCTTTTTTTTGTATCCCAAAGGTGTGACTATAGAGAGGTTTGACTGTATATATATATTTTTTTGCTATCTGCATTCTTATGTAAAAAACATATTAAATTTTCAAGATATCTCCTTAAATAGTATACCGTAGTAAAAGAGGCATTGTGGAAAAAAAGATCTTCATCAGAGCACCCACTTTCCTTATACGTTTATGTACAAAAAATGATCAGACCGGAATAATTTTATTAACTACCAATTTAGGACAGTACAAACAATAAAAAAAATAAAATAAATGTTTTCCTATATGAATGTAAGCAAGGGCGGGAAAAAATTGAGTAAATCTCCGAGATGAAAAGTGAGATAATATAGATAAGACTTATAAGACTTCTCTTTGACATACTAAAATTTTCGATATATAAAAATATTTTCGACACACTACGATCTTGACTGTCAAAAATCACTTTCGTCATTTTAATTTTACGCCAAGAACAAAATATCTTTAACACCCATGTATACCCCGACTTCCGATTCACAAAAATTAGTACTAAACTCGCAAGATCCAGTGGTTCTGAGGCAGGAACTTCAAAGTGCATATGAACGCATTCGACAGCAAGAGTTAGACATCAAAAATTTAAAGTTTGAGCTCGAAATGGAGCAAGGACATGTTAATATATTGAGACACGACAATCAAATGTTAAGACAGATGACTGTCGATATGGTATGTGTTAAATAATTTATATAACGTATTGTTATACATTTGTGCATCAGTTTTGTTCGTTAACCAACACATTAGTCACCAATCTCTGTATTTTTTTTATCTGTTCACTATTCATTACTTTCAAAGCACGTATCAGCAGAGCAAGAAGAAGAATATATTTCGAACAAACTACTAAAGCGAATTTCCGGTCTCAAAAAAGAGAAAGGTGAATTGCTTTTACAAGTTGAACAGGAAGAGGAATATTTAACTAATACATTGCAAAAGAAATTAAATCAAGTAACCGTTTTTTTTTTTTTTTTGCTTGTTTTATTATTTATTAACTGAGATTTTGAGGAATTAAATAATTTCTTGTTAAAACATAGTTACAAAAAGAAAAAATTGATATGGAAAATGCACTTGAGCAAGAGCAAGAGTATATTGTGAATCGCCTTCAGAAACAACTAGATTCACTACGTCAACAACAAACTTACCATCCACATCATTCCCGTGAGAACAGTACTTCATCGGTTTCCACCACAGGAAATGTCACGCCTTTACCTCCGGCCTCTCCATCTTCCACGTGAGTTAATTTCAAAATATCACCCCTTACATAAATATTTATGTTTC